TATCCAGACGCTAGTGTGAAATTTAGATTTTCTTTTAATGTATCCATCTGACAAATGATTTACTCTGGTCAACGTGTTTTCTTTGGGGCCCCCAGTAGTTGTGTTTTGCACCCGGATGAGACTTGGGAAAATGCTTTTAAATTACTTTTCCAGCGTTAAAGTTTCTATGCGGGTGTCATAGAATGATTTTACTTGTGGATTTATTGAAACGTAGTTTATTTCTCCCCGAAAATTAGAGTATTTTATACTCAGGATGTTATGATGAAGTTGGAAACTGGTTAGTCACAGCGTTGTCTTTGAAAGTCACACACAGAACAACCGAGTGTACGAGGAGCTTGTGTTGGGACACAGGTGCTGCGATGGGCCGTGGACCTTGGTGGCTGATTTTTGCAAAGCTCCTGCCAGGGCACACCAAATGCAAGCTATAGTTGGAAAATTGTAAACTTGGCAGAACTTAAAAGGCGTTGTAACCACCCTCTGATAGTAAAATCTTGTAAATTTGAAATGATTTATAGTATAGATTATGCTGTCTATAGTATTGACAGCCTTGCCTTACACTGGAATCTCTGTGTGAATGTAGTTAATTTTACACCTGTAAAGAGTAACACATTTATTGAAAGAATCTAACTCATTCTGTATTTTTAAAACAAAAAGTAGTGTGTGTGTGCATGTGTATGCATTATTCTATAATGGGAAAATGACTCACGTAAAAACAAAAATTCACTAAAACATGCTATAAATGCATATAGCTGTATGTAGTGTGTGCCCTAAGCAGATCCGTCTTGAATCCACAAAATAGTCAAAACACGAACTCAAAGTTTGCAAACATTTACATCTCATGAAAATGTTTTTTCAATCTCTATTTATTATATTTCCCTGCCACACAGTCACCAAAACTCTGTGGAAAGTGATAATGGCCTTAAGTAAAACCAAACAATCATGGATCACTGAAATACACCGGCGTAGATTAAAGAAGAGAAGCTAGCCAATTGTTAAGCCTTGGTTCATCTCACAAAAGGTGAATAGCCGTGTTGTTGGAGTGTTGTGCAGTGAAATACATCACAGTGTTTCTCCTGCATTTACAGTCCTGACTGGGAGCCGAGGTTACCTTGAACAATTCCAGACAAAGTGTTCCTAATTGTAACTCGCCCTGCCTTCTCTTTTATCTGGTAGATTTCCTTTATAAGGGACAGAATATGCTATGGACATTCAGACATGGGACGTAAAAATACATGTGACAACAGTCTTCCAAGGCCTCAAATGTTTATTTTATGTGTAGTTGTTAAAATTACAGACTTTGGAATCAGTTGCCTGGGTTGGACTAACCGGCTCTGCAAACTGTGAGCTGCGTGACTCGGCTCTCTGTTCCCTTCTCTATAACACGGGAGCGCTGAAGGCCTCTGTCGCACATATTTATTGTGAGTGTGAAAAGGAATAATATATGGAAAGCACCTAGCACTGCGCCTGACACCTAGAAAGTGTCAGCAAATTTTGACTATTATTATATTATTATTGGTCTACTGTGTGCAGGCACTGTACTACTAGCAGGCACTGTACTAGATTACTCACCATAATCTCATTGCAAGGTCAACAAATAACCTGCAAGGTAACCATAATTATGCCTATTTTACAAATTAAGAGATGGAGGCTCAGAGAGGAGACCAAGAAACTAGCTGGTGAGAGGCAGGACAGCGATTCACACTCGGCCTCTCTGCCTCTGTGTTCTTTATTCATGTCCTGTTTCATACAGTACCAGTTACATGTGGCTATTTAAATTTTTTTTTTTTTTTTTTTTTTTTTTTTAAAGATTTTATTTATTTTATTTTTCCCCCCAAAGCCCCAGTGGATAGTTGTGTGTCGTAGCTGCACATCCTTCTAGTTGCTGCATGTGGGACTCGGCCTCAGGATGAACGGAGAAGTGGTGCCTCGATGTGCACCCGGGATCCGAACCCGGGCCACCAGCATCGCAGCGCGCGCACTTAACCACCAAGCCACAGGGCCGGCCCTGGCTATTTAAATTTAAGTTGAAATTAAATGAAGTGAAAAATGTACTACCTCGGTTCCACTAGCCACATGCCAAGTCTCAATAGCCACATGTTGCTAGGAACTATGGTACTGGATGTGCAGACAGAATATTTCCATCACCTCTGAAAGCTCAATTTGACAATATTGTGGTTTAGATCACACTATCTCTCCAGGCTGGTGTGCTCTCAACAGGATATAAGATTTTTCTTTTAAATACTGTAACAGGGGTTCATCAATAAATTACTTAACCTTTGTAATAAAGACAACATTTGCTGTAGATGGCCGTGTAGACAATGGCTAATCCATCTGACAGTCTCTACAGAAACAAAAAACACGGCCTTGGCCAGATCACCACAGTGCCCAAGACCTAGGAGAATCTTCAGCTGTGGTTTAGACAATCTTTTTACTCAATAATAAGAACTGAAGCTGTTGGGAAATCCTAAAGCCGATGTGAAAATGCCAGACGAGTCTCTAACATCGCATCCACCTCTAATTCTCAATGGGCTGATAAGTTTCATTTGGGGCTCAATAAGCTTAAAGCTGTTTTCAATAATTTTTGAGTTTCTGGATGTAGTCTACTTAGGCGTAAGCTTTGGAAAGAGGAGACAGTGACTTGTTAGTTATGACCTTAACATTGATATTTTGCCGAGGAAATTTTTTTCCTAACTGGAAGCCAAATGACTTTTCTAGTTAGGGAGCCAATCAGCAATCTTTATGGCCCTTATCCTTTCTTTGTGCAGATCTTTTTGGTTGGTATCAGATATTACAATCTGGAGGTTTTAAATGCAAAGAGCAAAGAGGAGTGATAAATGGGAGTGGCAAAGCAAACAACCACATCACCCAATATTCTAAACACAGCCAAGCGGATTGCCTCTCAGAAAAGAGGCTCTTGCATATGAAACCAATCCTGCTTGACTTGAGAAGAAATAGTCAAGACATGAGGGACAGACCTGGGGAACTGCAGGCAAGAGAAAGAGTAGCTGGCGTCGTCAGAGGATCATTAGATAAGGGATCAGAAGTTCTGCTACCTCATGGTACCCTGCGTGTACTTCAACACTGGCATCTATCATATTGTGTTTTAGTTGTCTGCTTCCTGGGCCAATTCTCCAAAGACTATGAGCTCTTTAAAACCTACTGCCTACTACAGTGCCTTGCGACATGGTGAAATATTAGGCTTATTGAAAAAATAAACCAGCAAATAATTATTGGGTAGCTACTATATCAAATAATACCACGAACAAGTATCTTACACCATTCCCCCCTGCAAAAAAAAAAACTATAATTGTATCCCAAAACCTTCACATCTCATTGTCTGTCCTGGCTTTAGCCACTTGCTCTGGCATAACACAATATGGTCCGTATGCTGAGCTGCTTCCCTTTGCCAAGGTGGCTTGGTTGATATTAAATTCTAAGGTTTTCTCAAATGTAGAGAGCACTTAATAAGCAGTGCCAGAAAAAAGGAGCAGGAAAGGCTATAGTTTTTTCCAGTTCTGGTTAGTCCCACAGAGAGAGAAGAGTTAAGATGAGAAATTAGGAGCCAGTCGCTGAATGTAAGCTCGACTTCCTGAGAAGGTACAATAAGTCACTTGGGCTTGTGGAATGTATTCAACACTAAAGAATATTAACCTAGTCCAAAGGAATTAATGCAGCCACTAGGGAGGCCTAATTTACAGTTTGCAATTTAGGCCCTGGAAATTCTGCCTCATTATGCAAGCTGTTATGCTTAATAACCCAGAAACTTGGGCAATATATGCATTTATAGCCTGATTAGATCTTCCGACACACACATACACCTACTCACTTCTGCAAATGTCCTTATGCAACAAGCTGGTGAAAAGGAGGACATGGCTTCCTGCAGCACACGTACCTTTCTACCACTAAAGCCACTATCTGACTGCTAAGAAATCTTTTTCCACAGAAACAGCCATGTTGACATCCAAGAGGGAATGATTTCCAGTCTACAAATACTACAAGGGAACATTGACCCATTCCTCATTCTAAAACTGGGGGATCTGGGGTTGTTTTCTGTAACACGACATCTATTCCCCAGTTAGAAAGGTGGGCATTGCTCAGGATGCTATTGGGGTCGTAAGACCTCCTTCTGTCAGTTGTTAGGAAGGTTTGCCTTCCTAAGGCAAATTCTTTCCCAAAATAAGAAGAAATGAAATGGATTAGCTAGAGTTAGGTCTTTCCTGAACGCAGTTGTTAATATCGGAGTTATTGCCCTTGGCAAAATTATATTTCCTCTGTGTTCCATCTCCTTTGGAAGACCCTGGTTTGCAAGCAAATTGTTTTTTACATTTGTTTTCCTTTCTGTTTTCTCAAATGAAGGTTTTTATGAGCATTTAATCATGAGGAATCAGAGCCAAGGAAGGCATTTGACTTGATCTGCTGTGGCATTGTCACCAAAGGGTCTACACCTCCCAGGACCATGCCTTTCATCTTTTCTTTCCCATAGACAGCTTTTGCTGATTCCAGAGAACGATTTGACCCCAGAGAAAGCTTCTTATCGGGAGAAATAAGAGAAAGAAGGAGCTGTACCTGCCACGGCAGACACGGCCCCCCCCCCAACAGGCATATGCTGTTCTAGTCCACCATTCTGATTGCATCATCTGTTCGGAGTTGAGCAATATAACTTGGCTGTTAAAACACACAAGGTCTCGGCCTCGTTTCTAAGCAGTGTCCAGGCAGAGAAGCCCTAAAACGTACAGGTCAAGAGCCATCCATAATCTAAACAGCATTCTCTCAACAAACACGGGGTATCAAATAGCTGTCGCGGGTCAGGCACAGGTGTAGGCAGGAAGCAGACTGGCTTGGCTCCAGGGAAGAAAAGCCAGTAACATGGGCAGTTCTAATATTGCTGAATTCTGTGATAAATCAAAGGTCAGCTTCACCGAATTTGCCCCTTCTCTGAGGTTTTCATTGCATGTGAAAACACCGTAACCCACTCTGGTTTCTCCTTTCTTGATTCACAGAATGTCAGTACTGGGGTTCGGAGCTCCAGCTCCCGACGCTGGATTTTGAGGATGTTTTAATAAATGATGAGCACGCGTATAAGTGGCTCTCCAGCCTCAAGAAAGTCGGCATAGTGCGACTCACGGGAGCTGCTGACAGACGTGGAGAAGTTCTCAAACTAGGGAAAAGAATCGGTTTCCTTTATCTCACATTTTACGGGTGAGTCACCAAGTAGTTTGTGTTCTGCCATTATATACACAGTTTGATATGTTTCCCAGAAGGGGGACTCTTTTGACTGGAGATACAGAAATTTCTATCATGTCTTAAGCAGGAAGTCAGATGGGAAGATGAGGTTAAAAGTGGGATTTCTCTGAGAATGACTGGAATTTTTAAGGAACCTAAAAGCCCCGAGACATCAGACACAAAAGACAGGCTAGTTATAGGTGTTATGTGGGTTTGCTAGGGCTGCCATAACAGAATACTGCAGACTGGGCAGCTTCAACAATAGACATTTACTTCCTCACAGTTCTGAGGGCCAGAAGTCCAAGACCAAGGTGCCAGCAGGTTTGGTTTCTGGGGAGAGCTGTTCCTGACTTGCAGATGGCCACCCTCTCACTGTGTCCTCACACCACGTTTCCGCTGGGTACCTGCACTCCTGGTATCTCGTCCTTTTCTTATAAGGACACCAGTGCTGTTAGATTAGGGCCCCACCCTTATGACTATTTAACCCTAATTACTTCCTTAAAGGCCCCTTCTCCAAATACAGTCATGTTGGGGGTTAGTGCTTTATCATATGAATTTGGGGGTACACAAGACAGTTGATAACAGGTAGGATGGAAGACTGTGTTTCCCCAAGACTTTTATAACATATTCAGGTTTACAAACGTTAAAGTTCGTTAAAGATTTACCTCCCAAGAGTTGGCGCAAAATAAAGTTGGGCCCTGGGGAATTGAAACCAGGCACTAGATGTGTTAAAAAAGATAAAACTAACATGCAGAAAATTAAATCTGTGCACTTTAGCAAGTAACAGGAAATGCAATTGATTTTAACTTTGGAAAGAAGCTGTTTGCATAAGAATTGCCTGGAGGTAACATTAATTATGAATAATGAAACACTAACAACAGGAAACACTTACCCGGCAGTGGAGCTATGACTACATTTCTAGTCTTTAGGGTGAGGCCCTCCTGCGAGATGGATACAATTATTCTCAGGCTCATAGAGTAGAAGGCACTGGAGGTGAAAAAGACCTTCAAAACCCAAAGGTTGCAAACTGGTGACACAAAGGCTACATTCAGATATGTTTTGTTTGGCCCACATGGTGTAGAAAGAAAATGGGATTAGTTGTCAACACTTAAAAACTGGAAGATCTTCCATTAAATGTGGATCTGACTTTTCTTGAAAAATCAAATCTGGCAACAACTGAGCCTGAATCTAGCCTGCATGCTAACAGTCTGCTGGACGTAAGCAGTGGCTGCCCCGGGAAGAGAGCATATTCTCCATCTCTGCTCCACAAATCCCACCCCCACCCCTGCCTCACACCTGCAACGCCCTGCTCGCCTCTGGGTTCGCCACCCCTAATCCAGAGTAAGACGTGTCTCTAGATAATGAGAGAATCAGAAATATCGAGTCACTTGCCCCCAGTGATTTGAGCAAGTTTATTCAGGGCGGAAGACTCCTTCCTGTTTAGGCTAGGATGACCCAGCTCCCCCCTAACACCCCAAGAACTTACTTTCACCATTGGCAAATTTGTGTTGTACAAAATTTTTATCTCCCCTATGTCTGTAAGAATTTAAGCTGCCTTAGAGATTACAGCAGTAACAACAAAGGAAAAAGGAGGAAAAATCTTGAAATTCTTAAGAGCCTTAACTGTATTATTAGTTCTTTATTTAATTTTCACAGCTTTCTGAAATAGATATTATCCCCCAGTTCTGATAAGGAATCTGAAGCCCAGAGAACTGACTATAACTCAAGTTCCCACAGGTAGTGAAACTTGGAATCTGGGTCTGTCTCCTTGGTGGGCTTCCTAATCCCCCTCACTATCAGTGATATGAAGGAGGAACATGGAGAAGATTCCTTCAGGCACCAGAGGAAAACAGGAGACTTCAACTAAATCTCCTCTACGATGTTTTACTTAGTTTTTACTTGCTGACAACAGACTTTTTGTATCTATGCCCGCACATTTCACAATTTATACTGGTGGCCAAATTTGGGGGCTCTTTGTTGTAATTCCCTAACTCCCACCGCCATCCATCACATTAAAGGTCACAATCTTTGTCCTGATTTATGACTTGTGTTTTGTAGTGTTTTGTTTTCTCAAGTCCTAAAAAGGCTAACAATTTGGCCATGGATCTAATATTGTGAAATTTATTGGAATAAATACTAAAGGTTTGTTGTTAAAACAAATCAGATGCCCTATTGCTGTTCCATTGTCTTTGTCCTATACCTTTGCATCTGACCAGGAGGTTTAACCCACCCAACTCACCGTCCTCAGACGATCCCATTTCTTCCCTAAATCTCTCAAACTATCCACTGCTGCTTGCACCACTGATTACCAAGAGCTCTCCTTTATTTTGGTAATTTTTAACTCCCTACCTCAAGAACTTCCAGAAGAGAACAGTTTTGTTGTTGTTGTTGCTTTATTTTCATTTGTCTGCTGATTTGGTTTGTTGTTTGTTTGTTTGTTAAGGAAAGAGAAAAGTGAATCTTTTCCCTGATGTTATTTTCCTTTTCTGCTCCTTTCCACAGTAATGTGGAAAAGTGATATTAAAGTTTGGGTAACGTGAGATTTAAAAGAAAAAAGCATATTTAGAACAATGCTTCTCAACCTAGGCTGCACACTGGAATAGCCAATTTAAAAAATACTGACATCTGGGTCCCATCTTCAGAGATTTTTTTTTTAACAGGACTTGGATTTGGCCTGAGGATCAGGACCTTGAAAAACTGCAGGTGATTCTCCCCTGCGGCTCTGGTTGAGAGGAACGGGTAGTTCCAGACAAGGCAGGTCTTGACTGGCGTAGAACTTGGGTGCTTTACATCCTCTGAACCCTCACTATCACGTGAACTAAATGCTCCTCTTTGTGCTGTGCTAAAGCCTGGCTGTGACAGCTTCACAACAGAACCAGTCGCTGCCTTCAACAGGGTCCGTCTCATTCATAGCTTTGTTTCTCCACTGGCAAAGCGCCTTACTCTTGTTTGAAAATAATTGGTTGGTGAGTGAGTGAATGGAATGAATAAATGAAGGCCATAAATAATGGAGAAGAGGGACTGCCAAAACAGGAGGGGGATAGAGAAAGGAGAGTGGGGGAGGTTAAAGGGAAGCTTTGCTGACCATGTAGATTTTTCAAGCAGCCTGGCTTCCGCTCCTGCTTAGTGAGATGCCAAAAACAATAATAGCTTGGGGCTGCTTTACACATGACTCCCCTGGGAAACTAATCCCCACCTAGTACTTTTCCATTCAAATAGAGTCACTAGTTTGGAGAATTTGAATTGCATGAGTCTAAAATGAGAATTATAATATCTACTTTTGGTTCTTGGCTGTCATCTCCATTGTTAAACAGTTGGTTGGATAAACAAAAACAGTCGATTCCAGCACTGTGTGTAGTCTTGGTATATAGGAGGCAAGGAATAAATGTTTGATGAATAAATGCACACCTAGATGTTTTTAAAGGACGATAAGGCAGCAGATGAATGTAATAATCATTAGAGCATTTCATAACTATAAAATTATGCTCAGCTACTAAATCAAAATGGTAATAGCTTTGAGGACAAAAGTACACATCGTTTTCCACATCTGTATTTTCTCAGATGCTTGTCATTATTTTGTTGGTAAATCATCTAGATGATATTTTTTCACGCAATCAAGGCTTTCACGCAAGCCTTACTGCCTTGATGGTGAAAGATTTCCTGGGAGAAAAGAATAAGAGTTGGCAAAGAAACTCGTATTGTCAATTTTGTCAAATGTACATACATGTGGAGCAGTATGTAAAAAGATAACCTTTTCAGGAAGATTTAAACCTCTGATATGGAGCAACGTAGTTTTTACAGAGTGGGGCCAAAAGCCTCATCCTGTATCTCTGAACCCCCCACACAAAATCCATAAAAATAGCTTTCTGTCTTTTTTTTTTTTTTTTTTTGAGAAAGATTAGCCCTGAGCTAACATTTGTTGCCAATCCTTCTCTTTTTGCTGAGGAAGATTGGCCCTGGGCTAACATCCATGCCCATCTTCCTCTACCTTATATGTGGGGTGCCGCCACAGCATGGCTTGATAAGCAGTGGGTAGGTCTGCGCCCAAGATCTGAACTCGCGAACCCTGGGCTGCCGAAGCAGAGCACACGAACTTAATGACTATGCCACCGGGCCGGCCCCCGGATCATTCCTTTATTAAAGAAATTATCTGAATTTTATGGCATAATTAACCCAATGGGAAATAGTCATTGTAAACTATACTCTACCTGTATACTGCCATCTTTAATGATTGTCCCATATTAGGATGTTTTCAAGCATGCCTCCCACAGAGTAAATATGAAAGAAAGTGCAATCACTGTGCATCAAACAGAAGGTCTTGATTGATGGAATCATGGCTTTACTCAGCTATGCGACAACTGTTCCTTCAATTCTACTCGGTGCAAAGCACCCTGCTGGGCATTTTGTTCTGAACTAGATGTAGGTTTCTACTTTACGGAAAACTATCTTTGGTGATTTTTGTATATGGGTGAATGTAAATACTCGAGTTGACTTCATCTAAATAATCTGGACCAATAAAAATTTCATGAAACCAAGAACAAACTAAAAGTAAGTCTGGATTTTTGGCATTGCAAATAGGGCAACATGACAGTTAATACATACCAACAGCAGTGAAAGAGCCAGTGCATACCGGAAGGGTGATGCTCTCCACATGGTGACAGCATGGTCAAGAGGGGGCCATATCCAGCTAACAATATGGCCACCAGAGAGAACGAAACCAGACTGCTCAAAATTTACGCAGGTTGCCACTGTGCAAATAGATGTGGCATTAATCAATACATATTTAATTAAGACTACGTATGCCATGCAGCCCCTCCTCCCCATCCCAAGCTAATCCAACTGAAACACAAGGCATTTTATCCCCCCAAGAGGGCTGGTATGGGACACCCACAGCTCAGTTGCTTTCTCAGTTGCTGCTCAGGGTTGCTTCCCTCCCTTCCTACTCAACACCTTCTTTCCTGCAAGCATCTCCCCTG